CTTAATTAAAAAGATACTGATACCCACCATGGGGTTCTTGTCAAATTACCAATAAAAATTATTGCAAACAGTTTAATGTTCAGTGTAACTCTTTGAGAATGGGTTTTTAATGGGATTGAAAACTTATTGTGTATACATTATCCCGGAATTTGTGTGGTTGGAGTGGGCCAGGACTGTCATACATAAGCAAGCAAGCCAGCGTGTTTTCTTTTTTTCTTTTGTTTTTGTAAATGTCTCTGATAAGAGAAAACCTAAATCTCACAATGGACTTCTTCAAAAAGAATATTTGATGCCTCCCTCTTGAAAAATAAATGAAATGCATTTTTCAATTCTTTTTTTTTGTTTTTCCAAGCTGACATCAACAGTTATGATTTTAAAAAATCCCCTTTTAGTTGGGGACTGGTCAGTCCCTTCTTCCTGTGTGGGAAAATTTGCCCTGAAAGCTTCACATCCTGAGTTGTGATATGGAAACCTCAGGTCTCCAATTTATTTGTGTTTTAACAGGACTGCCTGTGTCACTGCAAGGGTACTACATCAGTTTCCTGCAAATGTGCTAATAGGCCATATGAGAGAATTCTACAAGCATCCATCTGCCGATTTTTAACAAGCCTGATTGGCAAGTGGATGTAACAACTGACATCTGTTCTTCCTTATTGATATGTAGATTTATGGTAATTGCTGTGAACAATAAGACACCAAATTACCTAAGGTGAACATTAAATTAAATTTTCATAGCCTCTCTCCTTATAAATACATTTTATAAAAATCTTACATTTCAAGCAGACATATTGTACATCCATTATAAGCATAATTTAATTGTATTTTTAATCTGCCAAGCAATGAAAATCTGAGTTGCGATTCTTGCTGTAGAAAATATTACCCTATTTTGATCGCTGAGCAGTTTATATTATCGAAATCAATTAAATGTCACATTTACTCTCAGCATTTTTTTTTTCTCCAGCATAAAAACTAAGGAAGCATATCTAGAGGCTTGTTTCTCCAAAGGGTACCTCTCTTCCTTCTGCCCCTTCCTTCCTAGTGTAAATAATTAACATTTCTTCCAAAAGTACTGTGCTTGTAGAATATTTAGTGGTTTCAGCAGAAGATTATCAGATTATTTTTCATTTCATTTTACTATGGAATGTAGGGGAGAAGCCACAATAGCAAAAAAAAAAAAGGCCTCATGCTCCTATGTGAAAACAATACATTTTGGATGATAATTCTCAAGCAGGTTGAGAAATAAAGAACAATTAGATTTATTTATTTATTTGCCTACTTATTTATTTATTTGTTTGTTTGTATTGCCTCCTATTCGCCCATTTGCGACTCGAGGCAGCTTACACAATGTAAAACCATATTTAAAACAAAAAATAAAAATAAAAAATAATAAAAACTAACAAAAATAATCAAATAAATGAATAAAGTACAATAGAACAAAATCTTGGGGGGGAAAATCACCCCCAACTCCCACCCCTATGACAGCAGATCACCCTAGCCATTTGATGGGCTCCATCCCGCTCTGGGTTCCCCAGGCCCGCTGGCAGCACCAGCTCTTCAGTGCCTTCCGGAAGAGAGCTAGAGTGGGGGCCCATCTAATCTCTGGGGGAATGATATTCCAGAGAGAGGGAGCCACCATGGAGAAGGCCCTTCTTCTGGGTCCCACCGGGTGTATCTCCCTCAGGGATGGGACCCATAGTATTCCCATAGATGTGACCAGCAAGAGACATTCCCTCAGATACGCCGGTTCCAAGCCACGAAGGGCTTTAAAGGGGACAACCAGCACTTTTAAAAAGATGCAGAGCATCTTGTAGAACCTCATCCTGGAAATTATAGGTACCACAATCAACCCCAAAATTTATGTTGCTAGGTGAGACAGTTGTTAAATTAGTTGTGTCCCACTTTATCGCCTTTCTTCCCATAGTTGTTAGGTGAATCACTGCAGTTGTTAACTGAGAAACCTGGTTGTTAAAGAGAACCCAGCTTCCCCATCGACTTGACTTCTCAGAAAGTCTCAAAAGGTGATCGCATGACCCTGAGATACTGCAACCGTCATAAATACAAGTCAGTTGCAGGCATTTGAATTTTGATCGTGTGACCATTGGAGTGCTCCTACCGTCGTAAGTGTGAAAACGGTCATGTCACTTTTTTCAGTGCCGTTGTAACTTCGAGTGGTCCCTAAACAAACTGATGTAAGTCGAGGACTACCTGTACAAGATAATGCTTTCCATTCACACCTCTATCCACTCATCCTCCATTTCAGGTATGCTGTCTTGGGCTGCGTCTGATTTGGTCTTGCAAACCTGTGGTTGAATTCTTCCTTTCCTCCAGGGGAAAGGCAGAGTCAGGCCAAGCAGCCATTCCTGTCATCCTCAAGATCTGATGGTTTTAATAAAGGCAGCTTAATAAAGGTAGCTTCCCTGGTAGCTGAGGATGAGAACACATCCTGGCTGGATATTTATTTAGCTGAGAAAAGGTTTAGGTGATAAACAGAGCCAACGCATGAATATCTCCATGATTATACAGTTCCATCCCATTATGTCAGCCGTTAGCACTTTGAAATGAGTGTGTTCTGAGCAAAGTTGGCAGCGGGTTCAAAAGAGGTCCCCTGATTTATCCATGGCACAAAGTCATGAAAGAAAAGCAGAGCTTATCTGCACGAAGTGCCTTGTTGCACAGTATGGTCTGTTAAATATAAATCTCGTCCAATTATTTGGAGGTATATGAATTGACAAAGGACAATGAGATGTTGTTGGCTCTCTCCTCTTTGTTCTGAATCTTGGCTGGGTTTTTTCCAACTCCCAGAAAGATTTGTTTTAGTACCTCTTTGGCAGGTAGCTGTTACATGGATGGAATGGGATGGGATGGGATGGGATGGGATGGGATGGAACGGAATGGGAAAAGGAATAGAATAATAGGGTAGAATAGAATAGAATAGAATAGAATAGAATAGAATAGAATAGAATAGAATAGAATAGAA